GGAGATCCCCGACAGACAAGGAGAGGCAAGACACTCTCTGAACCCGCTCTCTGAGGTCATTGCAAAGGCACTTCGGCGGCGGCGACTCGTGGCTACAGCCAGCGCCTCCTGTCTCCCGCCCGGCAATAAGCATCGGTTGTCCGGCAGCAGCAATTAGCACTGTTGTTGCTAGCACCCCCCCCCCCTCTGCCGCCTGACGAAGCAGCCGCGTCGAGGTGCTGGCGATGACGCCGCCGCCGCCGCCGCCGCCGCAGACGCACTTGGCGGCGCGGCGCGGGCAGGGCGCAGAGGAGGCACCTTGTGCGCCAGTAACGAGAGGAGGCGGATTGTGTGGCGGGACGAAGTGCTGCAAAATAAACCAAGTTCGCGCGGCGCTCGACGTCGAGGTCCACTTGAGGGATGAGTAAAGCGAAGAAACAGTCAATTGTTTCTGCTCGGAGTGGCAGACGAGTGCGACCTATAGCGTTACCGGCCGAGGCTTGACCTTGGCGGCGCTGCCTACGTGGACGTCGTCGCGGCCTCGCTCGCCGCCTTCCTATTCCTCCTGCTTATCGTAGGATAATGACTATGGCTGGTGGTTGTAATAGTGGTAGGCGTAGTCGTAGTGGTGTTAGTAGCAGCAGCAGCAAAAAAGCAGTAGTAGATTATTAAAATAATGACTAAGATAACGGTGATCACAAATAACATGTGTGCATATATATATATATATATATATATATAATATATATATATATATATATATATATATATATATATATATTTATTATTTATTTATATATATATATATATATATATATATATATATATATATATTATATATATATATATATATATATATATATGCATCTCTCTCTCTCTCTCTCTCTCTCTCTCTCTCTCTCTCTCTCTCTCTCTCTCTCTCTCTCTCTCTCTCTCTCTCTCTCTCTCTCTCTTTCCTTCTCAATTTTCTACGTAAATCCTAGCTGAAATCATGCTCTATTTATATCCTTTAGTCATATTTCAAAAATATTATCCCAAAGTGTCAAGAGCAGAGAATTGATTCTTATTGTCATTCATCATTCAATTGCAATGAGGAAAATCCTCCAGGAGCCCCTTATCTAACCGCGCGACCACAAACCCCATTCGTTTTAATTTGGAAAAGAAAGGCGAGAGAGAAGAGAAAGATAGGGCGCAGGAACGATAGAAACAGAAAGCGAGGAGGCAGTAGAGGGAAAGAAAAGATAAAGAGATAGAGGAGGGTGGGGGAGCTTGGAAATGGAGATAAAGGGAAGGAGGTGGGGGAGAAGAGACAAAAAGGGAAGAAAGTATAAGAGAGAGAAAAAAGACTCCTTGATAGATCCTACGCCCCATTGCCACATACCCGCTTGCTTACGGTGAAAATAACTCCCCCACTCCGCCATACTTCACCTGCGACACTCAATACCCTTGTTGCATTGGGCCGGGAAATATAAAGCTCTTGTTTTAAGTCTGGTTTGGGCCATAACGCTTCTGTTCTTCGGCGCGTCGGCGGGTTGGCTGCGAAGGGAAACCGGGCTGCGCAGCGAGACTTCCTGGTGAGATCCGACTTCAGCGGCCTTAGTTATTTTCGCTTACTTTATTGTTTTAGATCTCGCGGTTCGTATAACTATTTTTCTTATTATTACTGCTGCTTTCGTTGTTCTTTATTTGTTACGACTCGAACTGTCGCATCACATTATTCTATCACTTACTAAATGATTGTGGTGCTGACCATAGATGAGACGATAGTAATGCAATGTTGTGATACTATAAACAGTATTGAACGATCAAATTATCGTTGATTGGTGTGGTCACAACAAGACGGGGAATAAAAAAAATGGTATTATCTATTATCACTTAACTGTGTATAAATATGTGAAAAGAAACCAAAATATTAACACCGGCCATGAAATCTGCATGGAGAAATTATTTTTCAGTTATTGATATAACGTGTGATTTCGACGAATGACAAAATAAACTAATTGGAAAATGGACACACTTCATTCATACGAAAGAATAATTCTTTTTATTTTTCATTTAAAGGAACTTTACCAGCGATAATGTAACGACGAAAATCCTACATGGAATATGAATATGTTTTAAAATGCCCGACCATTCTTAGCTCCAAATCACTTAATGCTTTGGGTGAATGACAGAATAGATAATATGATGGACAGTATAGGCAAAGGAAAAGTGAGAGCGATAAAGTGTGAGACTCTTGTATGGAATGGTATACACCCTTGAGTATGATGTGCTCACTTGGAGGGCGTAAGGCAGAGTGACAGGGAAGAGAGAGGAAAACGAAGTAGACACTTAGGTTGAAAAAATAATCACGGTGGTGATAGTGACTGGGGTAAGAATAGCAATGGTGTTTGTGGTGATGATGATAGTGATTATAATGATAAGTGCGTGTTTGTGTTACTATACTAGTAATTTACCAAAATAATGTTAATGAGAACATGGATGATAATAAGTGATAATAAAGGCCATATATATGATATTGATCATAATCATAATTATGACGGTAATAATAACGATAAAATAACGGTAACGAAAAAACTAATACCACTGATTTAAATAATATCAAGAAAATTAACACTAATACAATTAATATAAATTGACAGTGCAAACGAA